AAAATGTGGAAAAAAAAACATATCATTTCCGGAAAACCGATGTGATGTCACATGGTTTGATTTTCAACCTCCAGTGTTTGAAGTTCTCATCTTGTAGCAGCGATGTACAGGTGTACACCGGGACACCGTGACATCATAGTTGGGCATGGTTACAGGTGGGACAGAGTCCACATCAGTGATGCTGGGTGAGGTCAGCCTCGTGTTAAATTTATCTTTAATATTATATCTAATAAAAGTAATCTTCTAAAGTTTTAGCGCAGAAAAATGTTTGGTATGGAAAATGTGAGCAGTTCATGAGCTAGCCACAAAGTTGAACACATTTCCGAAACTATTTGCCCTGAATTCAGGTTAACTCAGGTAAAACTCTTTGCCAAGACATTCCATAAATACTAGTTGTTGTTTTGAGGTGTGAAGGCACACATGGTTAAATTTAAGGTTGGAAATGGTTTGGCAGGTGAAGCTTGTTTGGTGCAACAGACATTACACCACCTGGGTGTACAGGCTGTTTAACAAGGCTGCTCAGCTGAGAGAACGTTGATGAGGCATTGACTCAGTTGGCAGGAAGGTGGTTACTGTAGCCGAGGGTGAGGTGTGACTTCATTTGACCAGTAGTGTACTTTTTTTTTTTTTTTACTTTTTTTTTTTTTTTTCTTTTTTTTTTTTTTTTCTATTTTTTTTTTTTTTCCTGAAATACTGCAGGAATTGGATAAAAGCGGAAGCTCTATGAAATAATATGAGGATTGGTTGAATTGTTTTATTCTTGCTATGTAGGTTTGCAAATTCCTGGAGGGACTGCAAAAGGAAAGTATTTCTTTTATCAGAAACAATAAGCTCACACGCACAGATAAAGAGATTGAAGAGCTGTTACTAAGACAACAACCAGCCCCACCCATCTCCATCATTCATTTCTATTTCCAATGAAACAGTTAGCTATCATGTGTAACAGTGCCGTAACAGAGGTGAACGTGTCTCCGGCGCTCCTGCCAGACGATGTCGAGCGGCACTGTCAACAGCAGAGGCCGACCCCGGCAGTGCCGATGTTTAGTGAGCAAGATGTTCCTCCTCTGCAACACATAGATGAAAAATGCACATGAGAGAAAAAGGGAAAAGACCACTTCTCTAGAAGCGCACTCCTTCTGGCAGAGAGTCAAGGGCAAGCTGCCAAGGTACTACTTTTCACTCTCCTGACATGAGGCTGAGGCAGGAAAGGGGGGTGTGAGGGGAGGGGAGGGGAGGGAGGGGGTTGCTGCAGGGTGCGTGCGTCAGCAGGTCCGCCTGGGACTCCCTTGCCAGGAGGTGGGAAGAGCATGTGGTTCTTATCTTATCTATGGGAGGGCTGGAGCACAGCGTCCAAGACTGACATTCAGTGAGCGGCAAAGATGGGGAAAAAGAGCGAACACTGAAGATGAAAACGCTTTGACTCCTCTCCCACTGCTCACCTCATTTATTCTTTGAGCCTGTGCCCGTGAAACTGGCTGTTTGTGTGTGTGTGTGTGTGTATGTGCGTGTGTGTGTGTATGCAGGTGAACACTACACACACATATAGGTTCATACCCTCCCCCCTCCAAATTCCACAGGAGCCATGGGTGAGGTGACCGGTGTGGCTAAATCAATACACCAGTCAGTGAAAAAGTGACAAATTAAGAAAACGCTGTTTCACCCTGGACTTTAACTGCAGTCCCATCACTTCCAGAGACACGCCCCCACATGGCAAAAACAAACACCGCTGCACAAACATGCAAGCTCACACCTCTCTCACACACACATACACGCAGTGCAAGAGAGAGGGAGCGATTTCCATGGAAATGTAATTTGCATTATTTCCACCTCCATGGTCCAGGTCATAGACGTAAAGGGTAAGGGCTATAAATGGCAAACTGAGATGTAGATAAGGCATGTCCCTTGATCCACAGCCGAATAGTGTGGTCACAGGCGAGCAGCAACGCTCTAACTGCAGTTACAGACACACTGCAGGTCAACCTTCAGCTCAAAACTTTCTTGTGCTTTCCCCTCACTGAGCGACAGCCAGAGGTGGAGGATCACGCAGCCTACAACACTGCTTACAGTAAAGCTGTAGTCGCTGCCTCAGAGTCAGCATCTTAACTGAACCGGTGATTTGATGTAGCGCTGCATCTGCCCCCCCCCCTCCCCCTCCTTTGACCCCCCCTCTTTCTTCCCCAGAGCCACATCAGTTATCAGGGGTCATGTTCCCCGCTCCACATCTGGACTGATGCTGAACTCTGCAGCCGCTCTGCAGAGGGCCCAGTTGGGACCCGGTAATGAGAACCACAGATTCCTTGCGTCTTCTCCAGTGCCGTGTTCTTTTATGAGCCCTGACACGAGGACAAGTTGTAAAGAAATCTACATGCATGTGGCCTTTTCCCATCCCCTCAGATACCAACCCACGACAAGCCGACGAGGGGTCAACGGACGCCTTGAGGAGAATGTCATCTGTTTCCCCACTCAGATCGTGCACTGTGCCCTGGCGCTGATCCAGTCCTGCACAGATCTTCATATAAAAAAATTTTAAGAAAGGGTTCAAACCGCAAACAAGCTAATTTTCTTTGGCTTGAATTTCCTGAGAGTTTAAATAAATACTGAAGACAAATCACAAAGAGAAACTATTTGGCATGTGCTCAGCCCAGTCTGGAATTATTTAGCCATTCAAATTTCAATCAGGCTTTAATTTTCATATGGCAGTCATATCAGGTGCTTTATGTATTTACATATTCTGTGACAGTGCTGAGAGAAATCCTCGCTGTGAGAAAGAAGGCATGCGGTGGGACAGGAAATGTCCAGCGTGAGCACTTCCTGCCTGACAATGCAGCCTTCTTCACTGAGTTAAGCAATTCGTCGACAACCAATTGGGTTTGAAAATGCCTGAGAGATCACATTAAGGGTGACCCAGACTGACCTCCGATACTGACCAGAACTATCCAGCAACAATGCACACAAACACGCACATGCATATTTATTTTCCCGCAACGTGGGGCTACAAACAGCGAAAATATCCCAGGACTAAGTCACTACTGAGAATTATATGAGCAACCAGGGAGTGAATGGGCCAACATGCTGTCTTGACAAACTGGAGTCTGTCTCTCTAGGGAGCAAATGGACTGTCCAGCAACCAGTCCAATTTCAGAAAGGACAAACAATGATAGGAGGATAAACATACCATCAGTTGCTAGAAAACAAAACCGCACTTTTTTTACCACAATAAAAGCCCTCCTTTACCCTCTGTTGGATACATTTAAAGTGATCTATCATATGTGTAATATTTACAGAAAGCAGTCTCAGTAAACAGAGCTGTAAAAACATACAGAGCATATAATGACGTGTATTCTAGTTGAGAAATGAATGTGTTCATGTGCTTTTATCACTGTCACAAAGCCTTGGATGAAGTATAATCAAATTATTTCCTGATCCCACACGAATCAGAGGGAAACATGCGATGAGAAGGCAAACAGTGTGTCAAGTTAATCCTATATTTAACCCAGATTAATTGACAGCTGTACAGCATTTGAAAAAAAAAAAACCCGACTGAGCAGCATAAATGTGAGCTATGATACTCACACAAACACGAAACTACACTTTGTGAATGCCTTGTTTATAATTACACTCTCAAAAAATAGTATAAAACAGATGAGTTTTCAGCTCATCCTACAGTGGATGTTACTTTAAGGCATTCGACTCTGACAGCCACCCACATCCATTGCTGTTTTGTAAATTCAAAAAGTTTGGAGGCTTTGTGAAATCTGAAATTCTTGTCCTTTTTTGGTCAGCGTGAGGGCAGGATACCTACATACTGTACCTCAATAATACATTCCATGACTGCAGTTTACTGCTATGTGCGTACTTTGGCATCACTCAGCATCCCAGGCCCCAAACTACTAACTTGTTATTACACGGTTGCCACTAAAGGTCACTTGAGGTGCCACTGAAACAACTGGAACCACTGATGGAATTATTCATGCGGCACACAGACAGAGTGAATTATGGAAACGCAGAATTGATAAAGTTTGGAGTTCCCACAGCAACATTACAAAGATACAACAGCAGATAAAATGGCAAAATATGGACTGTAAATTCACCACAGAGTTGCACTGACATGCAAAGGAAAAAAAAGTATTTTATAGGCAAATACAGGGGATATTTACTTTAGTGACTGAAAATTACAAATGCATTTCTTTTTTTTGTATACATATGAATCTTAATTTTGTTTGTATCAATTTCTTAAAATATTGAATTTTATTTTAATATGAATAATGTTAAATTGTGAGGAAATCTGCCTCTGATGTTTATTATCAAAAAGTACAAGATAAGCAAAAGAGTTGAAATAAGAGCCAAATTGAATAGGGCATTACTAGGACACTAAATATGTATCACAGCTATGGAATAAGATATACTTTTATTATATATTATATTAATAATAACATTAGTTATATGAGTTTATAGGAGAGTATAACAATATACTAATTTAGATGGGAATATTAACCTAACCTGTTCTTCAGTAATATTTCTAAGATATATTCCTCTTAAGGAATAAACTGTATTTACACTTTCTATCCTCACTCCGGCTCCTGCTGTTCAGACTTCGCTTCGCTCTCTGATGACATGTCTTGTTGCAGCACTGCTGACAGACCGGACCAGCTCAGATCCGAGACGGGTATCCACGAACCCGATCTATATTGTGTTAAAAACTGAAAAAGATTAGAGAGACGCACTCTACATTTTACGCATTGCATGTCCTGCCTGGTCCCCCACCAATGAAGTCCCCACCCATCTAGATCAGCTATCAATCGGTCATTCATAAAGTTGAGTAGACAAACGGGCAAATAACGTCCGCCTGCAGGACCAGCAGAAATAATGCATCCAAAATATGCCCATGTTTTTGCGATTTACTCCCCTGTTTCTGAAAGTCAACGCGGTCTATATTTTTGCATAAATTTCAGCTATGATTTTTCTTTTAAACTCTGTAAGTGTTATTCAAAAATACCTACTTGCACCCAGGAAACAGTCCGTTAACCTTCTGAAACAGCTTGTTGAAGACGGACCATCTTCCATGTCGGATTGTGAGCGCAAGAGGAGAGAGGAGCCACGGAGAAAAGTGCGCCTCTGCAGCTGCAACTTGGTGCGTCTGGGCAAAAAGCAAAACTATTCCAGGACGCGCTGAGGTGATGGTGTCCTCAATGCTTGAGGCTGTGCACGGTTTTAGGAAGGGCAAGAAGAGCAGTGTGCTGCCCCCACCCCCCCACCACCAGCGCTATAACCCAGCACCGCTGGCCGAGGTGTAGCTACAGTCGGTCCGCCTCCTCGGCGTGGTGGCTCCGCTGTGGATGTGCAGCAGCAGACTGGAGGAGCAGAGACGACGACGCATAGACACAGAGAAATGGGAGTAAACACACACACATACACACACGGGGAGAGAGGGTGAGACAGGAGCGCGCCAATGTCAAGTCAGACGCAACAATAAAGCAAGACTTCCTCTATAATTTTCAAAATAAAAGACCACCCAAATGGCGAAAGCAGTGTAAAATGTCTTGTAAGAATTACTGGAAAGAATATAATAATAAAAAAAAAATGTTATCAAGAAGTTAAGTAAATTAGACAACATTTTTCAAGAATTTTCTTCAGTGAATCATTCGCACAGCTCTGAGGCCCGTGGCTGACTGGCTTAAGCCATGCGTATTTGTAATGTGAGGTATTAAGCTACTACAAACATCACAGAGACACCACAAACAGTGAGAGTGCGCTTAAAATGTGCGTCATCGTCAAAGAAAACGAACTGATTATCAAAATGAATCAATAAAATTACATTCATCCAGTAATTCTTTTTTCTACAAAGCAAGACATTTATTTTAATTTGAAGGGTACTTCATCGTTGTGTCCGGTGTTTTTGCGCGTTTGACGCGTCTGGGCAGCGTACTCTTGACGCTGCTCAAGTGCTGTTCCTGTTCCTGAATTTGGCTGCGTAAAAGGGGCCGAGCCATATGCCCAGCGCTCTCCAGAGACACGCTGCCGTTTCCTGATCCACGACTCAGTGGTCAAGGAGGAGACGGCGACAACCTCCAGATTTACAGCACGGCTGGCCAAAACAATGAAGCGTGCACTTTGGCGTATACTGACTGGTAATGAACAGCACAGTGTTTTAAAGAAGCCGGTTTTAATCATCTTGCTCTTGAGCCCTTTAGCAAGGCACTGGATTCCTCCCTGCCTTTGAGGTGCCAGAGCAGACCCTGGCCACACTCTGAGCAGACAGAGAGAGTTAAAAACAGGGATCAATATGTAGAGTTAGGTTTGGTTTCACAAAGCTACATTTTTATGAATGACTTGAGCCCAACAAGCACCTTCATTCAGATCAGCCTTTCATTAAAGCCTGGCAAACAGAGGACACCTACTTGTGTCAAGCACGCAATCTATCAGGTAAAAATAAATGCCAAATATTTGAAGATGCACTTTCATTATGGTGCAGCATAAAGAAAAGATAATTTAATGAAACAGAAACAATGTGTGTATGTGTGAGAGAGAGCCAGCAAGCAGTCTCAACACTGATCACACCAAGGTCTATCAGTGTCTAATCTCACTTGAGATTTTACATTAGGTTAATTTGTGTGAAGTAAAATAAGATGTGTCTTTCTGCCTTTTTTCTGAATCACTGTTGATATTTCAGCTGCTGATTTCAAATATCTGCAGAGACATGCATTTACAAAAGGAATGTATTCAATTGATTTATTTCACCAAGCCAACTCAGTTGTACATTTACATAAATTATAATTGTAAATATCGCCTTGAATGGGCATGATAAAATAAATCAATGTAGTACATTCCTTCAGCAAAGGCCTAACTCTGCAAATCACAGCAAAGACTGCACAGCTGCAGTGCAGCTGAAATATTTAGACTAGACCTGCTCACAAGAATCATGGAGGACAGTTATAATCCTATAATGATAAAAATAATATCAAGTCCCATAGTGATAATAATAAAAATTATTGAATTAACCTCAAATTCAGGTCAACCAGAAGAACACTTTGCATTCTGCACTGACAATCTGGAGTAAAAAACAATGGAAGCTGAACACACAGATACACAATTATAAGAGTGATGAACAATCATTTGGCTTCTACAAATTAGAAAATGGCACAGTTAACACTGACAACCACAGAATCATCCCAGTTTCAGATTAGATGGTTCAAGTGTTCAAATGTCAAAGGATTTCCTGTATCAGTTTGAGTTCTCTCTGACGTCTTCAGGGCCACACTGCACAATTTCTGCGTTAAAACCAGCCAAGGAATGCATCACCACTCATGTTTATATTTCCACTAAGAATATCCATGTAGAAAAGAGGCACATCATTCATTTACAGGACACTGGTAGAGTAAAACAATCCTGACATGGAACTAATTTTGTGCCATAAACCGACAAACTACACATAATATACAGCAAACATAAAGATCTTAGTTCGGATTACTTGTACAAAATGTAAACAATTATCAACATGCATGTGAACTGTCACTGTCTAAATAACTGATCTGCTTTTTCTTTCCGTGTGAACAGTCTATGTGAAGATCCCACATCAAGTCCCAAATGAAGTGAGCTTCCCGGCGCCACAACCTTTGTAGATGTGTGCTGGTGTTATCAGCGCTCACAGGGCACCTACACAGCTCTGAGTCGGCAACATGATACAGCATAAAGTGTGCCAGACTCCCTCATGGCCACAGCATTACATACTGATCATATCGGGGGGAAGGAGAGAGAAAGAGAGAGAGAGAGGGAGAGAGAGGTGTGGGAGCTGTGGCAGGTTACGTCAGCATTTGTGCTATCAATCACTGGCATTCCTACACTCTCGAGCAGCTGGTCCATTCAGAGGTCACGTATAACATAATGGATTCTGTCTGACACACTCTGTCGCGTTTCCTCCCATTTTAGCCCCATGAGAATAACCCTTCAGTGTAGAGACTACTTGCATTTTAAGGTAACACATCAAACAGTTATTTTCAAATGCACGATGTTGATTCTTTTAAGTGTAAGAGTATTACCATAAAATATGCATCTGTTCATTTGAAACACTAATAATATTTTCTGATGCCTGGGAATTTGCTGAAGCAAGAGACAAATAAATCCAGCCATTTAGGTGAAAGTAATCTTTAGATACCATTTTCATCTGAAAAATAAAACCAACTATTTCCATGGTTTTAATATTCTGAACACTGATGAGATTTTATTCTGAATTATGAAACTGATGAGGATGTATAAAAGAATTTGTAAAAGTAACAACCGCAAATGAAAAAATAAACAATGAAAACATGAAAAAAACACATGAGAAGAAGCTCTGAGTTGATGAAGTTCAGAGAGCTCTGTCAGCTGCTCACCTCTGTGCTTCCTCCCTGCACTTCAAGTAGCTTATGCACGGAAATTTAAACAGAAAACAAACGGTTTAAAATGTTTCCTGTAAAGTTCGTGACTGGAAGTTTATGAGCTTATGTGAGACGGTTATGGATGAGGAACTTATAGAGCAATGCGGTAGATCACAAGGGATGCCACAACTGTCTGTGACCCACCAGTGAACCCTTCAGATCCATGGCTCTCCAAAGTGGCAGAGCAGTTGCAGAATTATTACATAACAGGAAGAAACTGACCAGCTTGACCTGTCAAATTAAACCGATGTCTGTGTTTAAAATTAGTCCACATGGTTCAAGACGAGGCTCAGCTCTAATATATTACTCCAACAGTGATACAAACTATTTAAAAAAAAAATTAAAGACAAGCATGAATTCTACTAGAACATGATGGTTATTTTATCTACACAGTAATCATTTGCAGTACAGTACAACAGTAATTATTTTTTGCCCTTTAGCACAATTAAAAATGATGTGTATTCTATTTTAATGTGGAGTCACAGGAGTCATACTTTAGAATAATGGCTGGAAAAAAGACACAAATGCAACAGAATGATACCAGCAAATCTTGAGCTGTCAGATGTTTCCTGTACTATTTTAAGTTCACAAAGCGAGCTGCATTTTGTGAGGGACACGTTGTTGTGTGGCATCTCTGGTGAGTACAAGTGCAAGAATAGTTTACCAAATCGCTACTAGGACACTGACATTTTAAGATTGTGTTGAATGAGTTTTTAATTTGAATCTGTAGTAAATATACAATATAGCAGTATGGCTTCTCCATTGATGTTAACACACTGCTGCTCCTGACATTAAACTTATGATAAAGATGCAGTCCTGGGCAGTGGTGGAAATAGTATTAATGTAATTTATAAAAGTAAAAGTAATAATACAATACTGTAAAATCTCTGCACAGTTGTAGTATTGGAATGTATTAACTGTTTTATTGATGCATTAATGTGACATCTGACAAATCCAAATTGCTTGTTTTCTTCAACCAATCCCCAAAATTATTTAAATCAAGAAAAGGTTAATCTGATTTACTGTTGAGCACTTCATTTCTAAGAATGCATTAGATTTTTCAAGATCATCTGATGTTTATGTGTAAAACCTTAAATTGCAAAGCAAGAAGTAACTATAGCTGTCAAATAACTGGAGTTAAATGTGCAAATCTCCCTCAAGTAGAAGTATTATGTGGAATTATATTCAAGTAAAGTAGTTAAATTTGTACCTCAGTGCAGTACTTGAGTAAATGTACTGAAACCTACATCCTGGTTTTTGTGCTGGACTGAGGATAATGTAAAAAATACATGGTTAGATCACAGGCAGACAGACAGGTCAACAGATGGATTTTGTGATTTATCTGCGTCACAGTATCTTTTTATTTGTTTGGATACAGTTGGAATAAATGAACTAAGCACCACAGGACCCCCCCACAACAAAACCTCAAAATGTCCGCCAGGGCTCTCTCTGGCTTGATCTGTATCAATTTGGACAGGCAGTGTGCACTCTTTTCTCTGTCAACATTATCCTGCCACCAAATCCCATATCCATCTGTGAATGGATCGCACGTGTGTTACAGGGAAATTTATGGAAATCAAAAAAAGTGATGATGAAAGACGCTGAAATCTCATCTGTCTTAATATGATATGTGTGTGTGTGTGTTTGTGTGTGTGTGTGTGTGTGTGTGTGTGTGTGTATGTCACATGCAGTTGGTTTCTATGGCTGTTGGTGAAAGAGTAGCTTTACTATTGTCCGCCGGGGGATCAACAGCTGACTGAAGAGTGAAGTGGTCTGCA